CCTTTCTTGCATCTTTCTTATTTTAAAGAAAGAAATATCAGGAATATGCTAATGTAAGGAGGGGCTTTCCATCTTATACCTCTCTCTACTTCATAACAAAATTTGAGGCTATAACTATAGATGCTGTTAAGATTTACCCAGGCTCATTAATTTTAGAAATGGCAACCTTTGAAGGGCAAATTTATTATAACATAAGGTAGAGAGGACCAGTTCTGGGCAATGTATTAGTGTGTGTCTGGAGGGCGAGGGGCAAGGGTACATGCGATGTGGGGTTTTTCCTCCTTAGAATGTTTAGAAATAAAAAGTTAACATAATTGTAATGCTTCCTAGTGCAATCACTTATCATGATCATGATTGTTGACAGAGCTGTGACATTTTAGCTTGTCAAAGGAAGGAAGAGAACACTAGGTAGAAAAGAAAGTAGATTTTAATAGCAATAAAGCAAAATGCTATTAAAATTTCCCTCTGTCTTTGCTAGAGATTTAAAATGTTACTATTTAACAGCTTAGATACTGGCATCTACTGTATTGTTCATTGACGTCCCAATAAACATGCCACACTCACACTTAGAAAGTTTGGGAAACATCTTTCAAACAGGGTCACTCTTCTCTAACCAGTGTCCATACAAACAGATCAAAGGTTTCCTGACATGCAAGAAACAGGTGTTATAATGGGACACAAGAGAACAGAGCAAGAATAAATAAAAACCACGGACCCAGTCAAACTTAACTGGAAAGCTGTGAAGGCTCTTGCATTAATGGGTTCCCTATTTAGCCTAATTAAAGTGACAGACATGTGGCATATGCTGTGCTTCCAGATCAGCACTGCTACAGCACTACGCAGCTCTAGCACTCACATATATGACTTCATGGTTTCCAGAAACCCCACAGAGGCAGGTTTGACATATCAGGGGCTGGTGATCATGCAGGGGTGAGGGGGTGGGGATTGAGTAAGAAGCCAACCTAAGTGGAAAATGAGGCAAATAAGAGATTGGGTAAAAACTTGGCTAAGCAGAGGTTGAAGGGAGTGAGCACAATGCTTTAACACAAAATAAAACACTAATAAAATAGTTTGAGCCAAGGCCACCTGCTTTCACATTTTTTCAAGCATTTAAAAGTTTCTTAAGCTAACTGTCCAAAGTGGGTGAGCTCTCTGTCATCACACAGAAAAATGTGTCCCTCAAGTCCAGTTATCTTTTTAGCCCTCTTAGGCATAGTAGGCTTCCCAGAATGCCCCAAATTAGGGCACCTTCTCTTCAGCCAAAAGAAAGCCTTAGAAAAGAAATCTCTTCTAGCCATATAGAAGATAGCAGATACTCTGACAGCATGTGTCTCATCACGTTTGTGTGGAAACCCCCTGTCTACCTCTTATATCAAAATGAAAGGAAAGAAAGAGGCAGGCAACAATCCGTGGAACTCTTCCTAAGGCTACTTCCGAGCTGGCTTTTGATCTTTTCCTCTTCCTTCTTCTTGGAAGTGATGCCTTCCCTATCATTTTCCAGAAAGGCAGCAGAAAAGGTAACGTCAAGGAACCCTTCATTGACTATACAATGTTTGATATGTATAAGCTGGTAGAGCAGTAGGAACTGACCACAAGGTCTGACAATTAAGTTCATGAACTGGTCCTAGTGAAAGTGCTACATAACTCATCACTGAATATCACAACAGGCACCCCTGAGTACTCCCTTTGGAAATCTATGCACCCATGCCAGCCCCTGCTCTACTCTTCAAATCAATTCTCTTGAAGAGAATTGAAACTCTTTTTCTGGAATAATCATCAGAGCTCTTGTCATACGAGGTCTGACAATTAAGTTTGTAAACCTGCCACCATGTGCTTACATTGGCAGCACTATGCAAACAACTCGGTAAGGTTTCCTAACCTTGGTGTATCAGTGTCACATGTGGTGGTGTCCTGCTAAGTGGTGTTCATTATTATTGTCATGTGTTTTTGTGTGCTGTGCTATGACAGCTCTGATAGCCATTCCTGAAAGAAGGAGTTCCAAAAGGGAACTTTGGACTAAGCACTGGTATTGGTGCACAGCTTCCCAAGGGGAGGACCTCAAAGATGACTTTGGTGATATTCAGCAATGAGGTTTGTAGCACTTTTTATTTTTCTTTCTTTCTTTTTTTTTTTTTTTTTTTTGAGACAGAGCCTCAAGCTGTCCCCCTGGGTAGAGTGCTCTGGCATCACAGCTCATAGCAACCTCCAACTCCTGGGCTCGGGTGAGTCTCCTGCCTCTGCCTCCCAAATAGCTGGGACCACAGGCACCCGCCACAACGCCCGGCTATTTTTTGGTTGCAGCCATCATTGTTGTTTGGCGGGCCCGGGCTGGATTTGAACCTGCCACCTTAGGTGTATGTGGCTGGTGCCTTAGCCACTTGAGCCACGGGAATAAAGCCTGTAGCACTTTTTCTAAGATGAGTTTGCGAACTTAATCACAACTTTTCTAGGTGTAATTATTTTCATTTTTGGAATGGATATTCCCATCTTAGGTTAGAACACAAAATTTGGTATTAGATGTGATCCAGAAAATTAAAGTGTATGTCAGTCTGAAGTAACCTGTACCCTTTTTGGTGGGGTAGGGAGATTGAAGATAGCTGTCAGTCCTCCAATATGATGGCCCCAGAAAGGTGCTCCAATGATACAGGGCAAGAATTAAGCATGAAATTGGAGAAAGGAAGACTGGGTACCTATAGAAAAAAATGACTTGGTTTTCAAAAGAGCCACATAAACCACCTTCTCTTAAGCAGTAAGACTATCCCACAAAAACAAGAGCTTTCCTGGAGGGTTAAATATGAAAAGGACATTACAAAAGTTTATGGGGTAAAAAGCAACTAGCCAGGCCAAGGTGTCTACCCTACTACAGCCTGAGTAAAGTAAGTTAAGGAACCCTAATTAGGTAGAGTTAGAAATCCTTGGTAATGACCCAGACTCAATGAATATTTTATAGCTTTGGTTAACTAACTTAACCTCTCTGAAACTCAGATGTTTTGTCTATATAAACAGAATTATATTTTATCAAATTTATAAGGTTATTTTATGGTCAAATAATTTTTTTAATATTTAAGTATTTTTAAACACTATACATAAGACAAGGGAAGAGAGCGGAGGAAAGAAAGATGGCTTGGAGACACTCATAAGATAAAGAATTTGCCTGAAAATATATAGCAAGGAGCCACCTTAATTCAAGGGCATTGCTTTGTGACTTTTTTTTTTCTTGAAAGAAAAGGAGTAAAGGAAGAACTTCCTTAGCAATGAGAAAAAGGGGAAGACTTGATTCGGTGTTTATGCTGAGTGTTTGCCTCACATATGACTGAACCATCCAATTCCCCACCCAATGAAGCACCAATGGAAGCATTCATACCTCAATCTGTTTGTGGTTGTAAGAGTGGCCACCACCATGTTCAAAGGTGTCCAAATTCCTGCCAAAACGGTCACTTAGGCCCTTTAGTCTTGGGCTAATTTGTGGGTGGGAGACATGACCCTTCTGTTTAGTAGCATATTCAGAAAAAAAAACAAAAAAGACAAAACACACTGTCAGAACTCATGAAACAGAACACATATTTCTAAATCCAGGGTATTGACCACATCAAAGAATGGAAAGTAGAAGATTTCAAGACCCAGTATCTCTCTTTTACAGAAACTTGGTTATAGGATCAAACAATGGTAATGATTTCTTATTTCTGCCTCTGACTCAACAAGATATTCTACAGTACAGCTATAGGAAGAAAAGAAATGGGTTAGAGTTTATAATAATGAAGGTTCTTTACCTTCATTATTATATTTTTACCAACTACAGTACATTCCAGTGTTAGTAGGATAAAAGGTGAAGGTTTGCAAGAGAGGCAGGAGCACTGTTCCTCTTAGGCAAACTTTCTAGCTCTGCTAGGCAGCCCATAATAGGCAACATCTTATGGCTTCCTGGATAAGGACAATGGCAAAAACTTCTCAAAGTATTGCAAAAATTCTTGATCTGCAGGACCAATAGGAAACATTAAAAGTGATTTTTTTCATGTTAGAATAGTTGTACACTTTTTATTTTCAAGTCACACAAGGAATAGCAACACAGAAATAAAAATTCCTTGTTAGATGCTATTCTTTAAGAAAACTCAAAAACATTACAGTAAATTTTAAGAATAGAAACTATCTTCGAGAAACTTCCCATTGTATTGAATTCAAGTTGGTTATTATCATAGATAGTCTAAATATTTAAATACTGAAGTTTTTTTTAATGATCTTACCTTTTTGTTTTTGTTGATATATTTTGTTGATATATATATTTTGTTGATATAGTTAGATATATTCACATCTAAAGTTAATTTTCCATTCCATGGCAATACTAGAAGGTTATGAAGATCATCTAGTTTTATTCTACACTTGTTTTACTGTGAAGATAAGGTGTAAATGATTTTGGATTCAGTTTCCCATTTTCTCCCCAAGTTTAGCTTACACATAAAGAATGTGAATTCAGAACTTGGTGGGAGGCCATGCCTAGACTTTTGATTGTAGGAAAGAATGAGGATACATATATTTGGAACCTATGTGTTTACACTGTACCAAGAAATTATTAAGTAACTTGATAATAACAACCCATATTCTATGAGCTGCAATGAGGAAAATACCCAATGTCATTTTCTGTTTTGATGCTTATATGTAAAAGCAAATCTAGACATAAGTGGAGACATGGATGAAAAACTGATTAAAAAAAAAAAGCTAACATATTCAAAAACAACTAGGCATAAAAATTGTAAAACTCTTAACTCACCTGATAGAGAATACATAGTACTAAGCCATAAGGTGATTTTTTTTTCCTTTAAAAATATTGAAACTGGCAGTTTTCTCTTCTATTTGCAATATGGTAAGCACTTAAGGTGTTAATCCTTCTGGGCTACGCTTAAAAAATTATTTAACATTCAGGCCATTATTTAGCATACAGCTGGTTAGCAGTTTTCCACTGAAGTACTGGCTCACGTCCCACATTTTTTTCTTCTGGCACTTACCTGGAGCTGTAAAGGGCTGAGTCCAGAAGCAGCAGCAGCTGCCATTGTTGATGGAATGAACTGTACAGGGTAGTTATCACCTGTTGGAAAGAACAATGCATACAGGTTTAGACAATACACAGGGAATCGCAGCAGACAAGTACAAACATGGTCCTTGGATTGCCTAAGCTTTACAACGTTGCTCTAAGCCCAAACATCTGCAGAAACAAAAGACTTAGTTGGGCACAGACTTGCAGAGCTGCCTTGGAACTTTTTGTTAACAGATAGCTGGTAGGCAAACTGGCAAAACATGAATGTGATGTTAAAAAAAATTAAATGTGCAATTCAAACATGTTCACTCCATTACAAATCTTGTAATACATCATTTTTTAAGAGTAAAAAAATAATCTTAAAGCCAGGCTGACACTCAGTATACTGGGAAAGCACTGAGGCTTTTATATTAGAACAACAAAAAGTTTTGGCTTGGTAGGCAAGGCAGAGCATTAGAAATAGGCAAGGCAGAGCATTAGAAATAGACCAAAAAAATAGGACTATGAGCTTCTGAATGCCCATAGCACTAAATTTTATTTTATAAAATAATAAAGAAAAAAATTTAGATATACAACCTCTTTAGTATGATGGGGCTGAGAGGGCAGCTAATCTTATCTGCCAGATTTCTGTGAAATGCTCGGTTTCCCAATAAGTGTGGAAACCATATTTTTCTGGATTAACCTCTAGCACTGCCCTGGTGTAACCCAGTACAGAATCACACACTTTGGGCACTTATCAAACATTCTTTGATGGTGAGTTGATTAAGTAACCACACATTTTACATGATGTATCTGTATTAAAGGCCTGACAGGGTTTGAGCATGATCAGTGGAAACCAATGTTACATCTTAATGTATTTCTGACTCCAGTCCACTCCTAAAGAGGAAGACAGAAGTGTCTTCTGTGACCTAAGAACACCGGCTGTGTGCAGCAACCTCAAGAACCAAGGGAAAATGACAAGGAGCATATCAGGATAGTGGTAACAGAAATAAAAATTAATATTTGTGGATAAATTACATAATATCAGTGATTTAATGGAGTATCACTTTGGCTTCAGCTACTTATTTAAAGTCAGTGTTACATACTGTCTCTAGGCTATATTTTAATAGGCTGTTCCCCCACACATTTTTGACATTTATAATAATCATGCTGTTTTGCATGAACTTTTCCCCACTGAAAGCTGAATGTAATAATAAATAGACAGTGTAGGGGAAAAAACTCCACAATAATAAAGGTAGTCAAATGGAAAGCAATAAAGTTTTTTTTTTTTTTTCCCCTTTGCATGGATACTAATACCTAGAGCCTTCCTGGGGCCCCTGATTCCTTGGAACTCATCCTGCTGTACCACATTAAGTGCTACTCAGCTGGCCCAATGCAAATGTTAAGTTGCTTTCACTTTTAACAAATTGTTAGCTTCTAATCTACACAGTCTCTTTGCATCCTATCCATAATACCTCATCAGACCATTGAGCACAGTGTGTGCTTGTACACAGTCCACTAACAATTGGCTTCTGATTGCATATGGAGCGCTGCTACAATGCATTCACTCACACTATATTGTGATGGTCTCCTATGGAGTAATGTTCAAAATATCTGATCTTGTTTTTCCCCTTCCATGAGGTTGATTTTGGTTTGCAGTACTCTATGAGCTTTTTAGAAAAGATAACTAGGCCAAATTATTTCTTATAGTAAATGACTGTCACTTTATGCTTAAATAATTCTACTGATCTTCTCAATATTTAAAGTAAATTATCTGAAGAAAGAATATCCAAATCTAAGTCAAATAGTATTTCTTTGGTCGATATCTTATCAAGTTAAAAAATATCACAAAATGATGCTGAATTAATGGTGCTTCAAAAATAGGGGGGGGAAAATCACCATTCCAACCATCAACATGGACTGCCTCCCAGAACAGTTTAGAGCTGTTCTTTCTTTAAATATCATGCATTATTCATACTAACTCTAAACCACAACCCCCGCCCTATAAGTTTAATACCAGTTGCTTTATTTGTACTAAAACATTTTTCATGTCAAACATATTTTAAAAAATCAAACTCTAAAAGAATTCCCTGGGGCACTCCTTTTTTCATAGCTGTCATGCTTCTATGCTATGAAATAGCTAATTTTTTTTTTTTTTTTTTTTTTTACAGTTTTTGGCTTGCCAGTTAATTTATTACTATCTCTACCACACCCTGTAGTACTCTCCAGCTCACCTGCTGGCTACAAACAGCTTTCTTTCCACTGCTGACAAGCATATTTTAAAAACGTTTTTAACCTTTCTGCTGATTTGAATTTGTATATCTGAATATAATCTTTAGAAAGCTATTTCTCCAGAACATATTACTGTATTAATACTAAAAATAAAAATGAATATATTAGAGAAACAGAATGATCAGAAGATAAAGAAAAAGGAAAAGGCAGGAGCAGGAGAAGGTGAGGTATCAAAGTAGAAGAGAAAAGTGTAAAAGGGACAAGGACTTAAGGGTATTGTAACAATTAGTTTTTTAATAACAAATTTACATGCTTCTCCCCACCCCCCTCTAATTTTCTCTCTGTAAGAGTCAATCAAAAAAAAAGTTCTCAGTGCCTGACTTGGCAAGGAATCAGTCAACATGTTGTAGCAATTTTTTTCAAATTTGTCTCTGGATTTGAAATGCTTGCGTGAGGACCCATTCTTTTTAATTTGTACAATGGAAGATGAAGCCTGTTGGAACAGGTTGGCTTTAGGCACTACTGTAATCTGGCCCGTGCTACCTCTAGTGTAAGAGTGAAACCTCTAAAAACCGATTGGGGAAATAATTCCATTCTGTAAATCTACTTTTCTAGCCCTCTAGATATTCCAACTGACTGTTTTTATATGAAAATTAGAGAACAAATACAAAATAGGATTTAAAATTTATAGAAAATTTGCCTGACTTGTCAAAATAGGCAACACTCTTTTAGAATCAAAGCAGCTTCACAGCAAGAGCCCCTAAAAGAGAGAAAGCAAGTTCTTAAATTTTCAGGGAAACTAAAGCCAAAACTTAGGAGGACTTAATCACAGAAGAGGAGCTGGAACTAAGAACTTACCGCTCATTAGTCTCAAGCTACCTCTTGCAAGAATACTTTTAATTACTTGTGTAATTCAGATTTAAATTCCACTTTTAAGAGTCAAAAATCCCATGGGCAACATTCTGTCTATTTATTTTCATTCTACAGAAAGATAGGAACAAAGATAGTTGTATCATCCTGAGATATTAACTTCAGATATTTACACATTGGAGAAATTATTTAGAGAGGTTGTGAGGGAGGAGCAGAAAAGGAAAAAAAAAAAAAAAACACTAGGAGCCAGGACTCAAAAATTCATCAGTAACTGGCCCAAAGTGAGAATCCAGTCTCATACTTCATTCCCCACCCTTCAAAACAGAAGAAAACTATGTTACATATCCCTAATTAACGAATTATTATGTGATGGCAACACAGGATGATGGTAAGTTGCCAAACATCCTATAGACCCCCACTTTTATGAACTATCACCATTCTTGATACAACTTGGAAATAATTAATATTTGAATCAAATCCACTGATGCAAATTCATATATACCATTTTTCATTTTTTATACATTGCTTACATGTATATATTCAGTATGACAAAATATTACAAGGTTCTTATACTGTGAGGGAATACCATAAATCTGAATTTATCTTTGTGTGACACCAGACTACAGCAAATATTAGCAGGTAATAAGTGATACATTTAGGACCCTAAAAATGAAATAAAAACTTCAATTTGTTCTGAGGACAAATGGACAATAAATTAGCAACAATCACAATATAGATTGCTGAGGTCACCCTATTCTTATTTCTCCTACTAAATTTCTCATTCTCTATTCATCAAAGAATAGATCAAGGGTGAAAAGTTTTCTTGATCCTATGATTTTTTTCTAAGATTATCTGTATTGCTTTGCATGCCATTATGAAACCTAAGAATCAAGGATCAATCTTAATTTCTTCACTTATTTCACACCTGCATACAGACCCTCGACCAATCATTTGAAAATCTGTGGAATTTGCCACAATGGCAATTAAATACATGAGTGAGAATGAATTGATACAAATGAAATGAGTTTATTTACAAGAAATCAACTAAAAAAAATCCCTCAAAAGGATGCTTTCATAATGGCTCATCAATGGTACAGCCTCTATATATGAAGGAGAATACAGTTAAAATAATTCTTGACCTTTATAAAACCAGGTTAGTTGACATAGTTGAACATATTTTCTTCCTAAACCTCAACATTCTTGCCCAATTTAAAAATGGGGGTACTAATTTGAAGAATCCAGGTAGATATATTTAATTAATTAAGTATTCCAAATGTGTTATACACCTCTGCTTTCAGATACTGAAATGCATTTTATTCACACAAAAAGCCAAATTTTCTTAAGATCATACACACTTAGACCATGTCCTCAACAGTATGAAATACCAAATCAGAGAACTTCAGTTGGAATTCTGTCTCCACTATTTTCTAAATGTGAAACTTTTAGGAAAGTCAATTAACTTTTTGAATATTAGTTTTTTATTTGCTTTGAGTAAAATAGAAATACTACTACTTACTACCACTTTTACATAAGAGTTGTTGTGAAATTTAAATGAGATCACACACACATATGTGGGGGACATATCTTGCAAATAAATGTTACTCAATAAATTTTAACTAAAACAAAGGAATAAAAAAAAGAAGCCATATGTAATTGTATAATTGTAATAACCATACACCAACTTAGACAACCTAAAAGAAATGGACAAATTCCTTAAAATATGCAAATTATCTAATTGATTCAAGAAGAAATAGAAGACCTCAATAGAATCTATCAATAATCAAAAACCTCCCAATAAAGAAAATCCCTAGTTGGTTTCACCAATGAATTCAGGCAAGCATTTTAAGAACAATTAATACCATACATTTTTCAAACTTATGAAAAATTAAAGAGGAGTAAAGACTTCTAATTCATTCTAAAAGGCCAATATTACCTTGTTACCAAACCAGAAAAAGACATTACAAGAAAAG